CCGGCTATTAGGTAAAATAGTGTCTGGGGTCTTAAATATATATCCCCAAACAAGCAGACATCCAAGTAAGATGTCAACTAAGTCTACATGGAAAAACCACACCATCTCAGTCATTGAAGGATTCTGAATCATATAATACGAAGTCAAAGGCGGGATTAGTATCAGAACCTAATGTATGAGAATCAGGTTTGCAGAAGGCTATGGATGACAGTAGGAGCCCAAGATCCATTTGTGGAAATACATAGGAAATAAATATCTGCCTCCGGTGGATTCCCTCTATTCACAACTGAGAGGCAGAAGGGAAGTGGTTACTAAACAGAGTGCATTAGAGCGCTGAGTATAGAAGATAAAGGCATAAATCTGATTTGAACAGTTAAAACTTTGTCAGTAGATCCGCCTATGATGCATGCTGGACCTGATCTGGTTCCCAAATTTTTCTGTATGTTTGTTGGTCTTATTTTGTTTGATTTTTGTTTGCTTATATTAGGGTGTACCTCTGAGGTGTTATGTCATTGGGGGTCACACTCTTGAAGTTGTATTTTCTGTTTTTCAGTATATGAAACCAAAGTTTCAGTATATGAAACTGATGAAGCTACAGAGATGGCAAGTAGAATAAGGGTTATGGGGAAGGGGTACAGGGTGTTGGTAGCATGAAGGGGAGATGAGGTCAAGGAGTCCACATGGAAAAAGAAGGTTTGGAAACTGATTGTGGTAGCAATTGCACAGTTCTGCTGGATGTGATTGAACTATGCAATGTTATATACATTAAATCCCAATTAATAGAAAAAATAAGAATCAATATATGAAAATTATGGACTTGGTAACAGAAATAACAGGGGAAATCACATGACAGAATTTTGCTAAACCAATAACTTTTTCATCATAAGTGCCCTTTTTCAAACACATGAACAGCAACTATACACATGGACTTTTCTGGATGGAATCCACAAGAATCAAATGGACTGCATCTGTGGAAAGAGATGCTAAAGAAGGAGGCTGTCAATCAGAAGAAGGCCAGGAGCCAACAATGGAAGAGACAATCAATTGCTGATATGCAAGTTCAGGCTGAAGCTGAAGAAAATTGAAACAAAGCTGTAAGAGACAAAGTGCAACCTTCAGATGAGTAGACCCCATCTGAATGCATAGGCCATCTCAAGAATAGATTTGACACAGTGAACACTAATGATAAACGAGAATGTGGCACAAGGGTTGGAGGATGACTCAGTAACAACCTATGATACGCAGATGACACAATCTGGTAGCTGAAAGGGAAGAACGGATTACACCTAAACATAATTTTTTTTTTAAAACCACAACATTGTAACAACTGGATCAGTAAATAACATCATGATAAATGGAGAAAAGATGATTGATGTTAAAGACTTCATTATACTTTGATCCAGAATCAACCCCTAAGCAAGCAACAGTCAAGAAATCTAACCAAGTATCTACTGTGTTGGATGAATTTGCTGCAAAAAAAAATCTGTTTAAAGTGTTAAAAGAAAAGACGATATGTCCAGCCCAAGCCAGGTCCAACTGCCTCAGACACACGTTAAAATGATAAAGGAAGATGGGGTCTACCAGTGTAGTGACATCTGTCTTGTCAGTAGAGTAACCCTCAGGGAGTCAGCAGAGAGAGAGATGTGTCTCTCGTCCCCAAGGAGGAAAATACAGGAGTTCCCAGAATTCTCAGGAGAAGGCTATACCCAGACAAAGGCCTCATTGGCTATGACGGCTCCACCCCTTCACTCTTAATCCTCTCAACTCCCAAATTGACACCAGATTATGTAACTACCACACATGGCCATTTCTTAAACCAGGAAGCTTTCATGTTGACACAGTTGTCTGGAAGCATGGGGACCAGGTCCCTTTGAGTAGGAACATTGGTATATGGCGGATCCTGAGTGTTTGAAAGAATAATAATACTAATAAATCTCACTTGGTAATGTATACTGTGTAGTCCTCGTGGTATCTGTGTCTGTGCTGGTCTGGCAATTATCAGCGTTTCCATGTCCACAGAGGCCATTGTACACTGAGCTAGAGGGTCCCTGTGAGTCGACATGGACTGAAGGGCAGTGAATTTGGGGTTTGGGGAACCGTGCCCTGGTGGCATAGTGAGTTACATATTGGGCTACTAACCACCATGTGCTCCACAGGAGGAAGACGAGACTTTCTATTCCTGTAAATATTTACATTCTTGAAAACCCACAGGAGCTGTCCTACTCTGCCCCATGAAGTAGTGCTCTGAGTTGGAATCAACTCCCTGACAGCGAGATAAAGAGAACTTTAAGGCAACAATATTTACATCAGATACTTTGAAGGTTGCTTTTGAAAAACGTATTACATTAAAGATATTCATGTGTTTCTCATCCTATGCCCATCAACTTGTTTTTCATAGCAATTATAAAAGTGCAAACTGCCTTACTGCTTTCTTCTGAAATATAGACTGACTTGTACCAACACAACTACCAACTTTTAGATACCAACGAAAATTTATCCGGTATCTGTATAATGAATTATTTTAAAGTTTAGTGACAGCAAAATTATAAAAAACCATTTAATTGCTAAGTAAACGCTGATGGAGGTTAAGTATAGTTTAATTATGGTACAGCAGATTTCAATCTTAAATGGTTACCAGGGCCCTCAAAGAAAAACTTTGTTAAAGGCAAAAACCACAAGACGAAATTGAGAGACTCCAGCTGATTACGTGAATCTCAATGATGACACCCCTGTGGTTCCTGCAAATTCCCAGGCTCAAGACCCTCATCCACAAATAATACTTTCCGACTTTAAAATCACCCTCACCCCACCCCCAATTTTTGTAGCACTGTTGGTAGACATTAATAAGCATTCACTCTGGAATATTCCTGGCAAGGCGGCAGATAAAATAAGTAGCCACTGACATCTTGCACCACACAGTGAGCCAGCAACAGACCCAAGAATCCCATACAAATCTTGCAGGAATGGGTTATGTTCTAGACCTGCCGATTCTCTGCCCCAGAGAGAGTGCTGGGCTGTGCAGTCCGGTGCAAGGTTGCTGGGCGTATGAAGAATCCTTTAAGTCAGATACCCCAAAATAGCCAAACCTAGGGCCATCTAGTGATTCTGACTCAAAGTGACCTTAAAGGGTTTCCTAAGCAGTAGATCAATATGACACCAGTCAGATGGGATCATGCAAATCATTCGGTTCAACCCCTTCACTTTGCGAATGAAAAGTACGCTTCTGAGAAAACACTCGCTCCAGCCAAGCAGCTGTGTAAGCTTGTGTCCTCCCTCCCTGATGTTGTCTTCCCCCCAAAATGGTCTATATTCAATCAGCGGTTCTCAACCTGTGGGTCGCGACCATCGGAAAACACATACTTATTTCACAATATAGAATTACATTTTGCTTTGTTATTAATCACTATGCTTTATTTATGTTTAATTATGTTTAATGATGTTCAATTTGTAACAATGAAAATACATCCTGCATATCAGACATTTACATTACGGTTCATAACAGTAGCCAAATTATAGTTATGAAATAGCAACAAAAATAATTTTATGGTGGGGGGGGGCACCACAACATGAGGACCTGTATTAAAGGGTCGCAGCATTAAGAAGGTTGAGCACCACTGGCCTATTCGATGCTGACGAAGATGGGGTAGGACTAGAGGCACCGATGGTCCTAACGTCAAGAAAAGACCACAGAGGTAAGGAGATCAACCCCTTTTCTTACTGCTGGGGAAACTGAGTCTGGAAAGTGACGCAGCTGCGGCGGTAAATCGGCAATCCGGCCTCTGTGAAGGAAAAGCCCGAAGGTGATGAAGGTCATTGGAGACCCCTGGCTACCCATCTCCAGGAGGACGTCGTCAAAAAGCCTCGAACTCCACTGTTGATTCCATAAGAAACAAGCACAACCCACACGTAATTCGGAGGGAAAGGAAATGGGGTAAATGGAACTGCAGGTGCGCAGAACCTAGAACCCGAGGCGGGACCAGCGCCCAACCCTTGCCGGGCGCTTCTGCCTAAGTGCCCGCGGGGACAAGGGACCGCAGGACAGCAGCGGCGCCTCCCACAAAAAGAGGTACCTGTGGCTCCCGCCGCAGTCCCCCGCCGCAACGTCGCCGCCACCTTACTTCCGGGGTCACGTCCCGGCCGGGAGACCCGCGTTCCCAGCCGGGCTCAGGAGGCTCCACCCCTCCCTGAGGTCTGCCCCTACTGTCCCCTCAGTTCTGCACCAGGCCAACTTCCGGGACGCCGCGCGTCACTAAGCAGCCGGTCTCTACTTCCGGACGCAGGCCTCTGCATGCCCCGCCGTCGGGAGTGCGTCCGGCGCACGGCCGCGTCTCCTGCGCGTCTGATTGGCGGATCCGGAAGCTGGGCTTAGCCGATTGGCGCAGAGGCTCGGTCCCCACAGACGCCGCGTTTCCCGCCGGCTGCCGCTCTGGGACCGCGATCATGGTGGACGTGCTGGAGGTGCCGAAGGCGCGCGTGAACGCCAGCATGTTAGCTCAGTTCATCGACCAGCCCGTGTGCTTCGTAGGGAAGCTGGAAAAGGTGCGCGTGCTCCCTGCCCCGGGCTCCGCCATTAGAGGAAAAGGCCCGAGACTGTCTGGGTGGTTAACGGTGAGGGATGGCAAAGTCTCAGCGCACCCGCGTGCCGCCGCGTTTTATTTTGCAGAAGAGAAGGCTGGTGTGGGCGCCTCCTTAGGGCGCGGGCACGGCAAGTTTACGAATCCACGCCGTTCGTACTCACTTACGTCTAAAGGAAACTAGGCAAGACTACCACGACTCACTTTTGGATTTTTATTGTGCCCAAATTCACGTTGACTCCAACCTGAATTAGTTGCTTCTGTTCGTCTGGAATTTTCTCTCGTAAACTTCTTTGGTCGCTTCTCTATAAATTATTCCTTGACTATCTGTCCAGATCCTGGCGCCTAACCCCGTAGCAGCCTGTGTATTTTACCCCCAGTGTTACCCAGTAATCCATAAAGCCCTAGGGACCTGAAAGAGTCCATAGGCCTACAGCTGAGAAACAGGCCCTAAGTCTCAGGATCAGGGACCCAAGAAAGCAGAGGAGGGAGGGACTGTTATGTAAAGTTTATTTAACATCTCAGTTCATCCACACATCAACTAAGTGAAATCCGTGCTACTCCAACTACACACACACCACACACACACACCCCAGTACGATGGTCGTTGATTTAAAGTGGCCACTGCCCCTGAAGTGGTTGCACCGAGTGGAAATTAACTTGATGGCAGTGAGTTTGTTTTTGTTTAGGGTCAGGAAATAGAAGCAGACATTCCAACGAGATTTGTATGCACTCAAAAGACACCTGCCTATTCATACATAGGCTAGCAGATCTCACTTTTTGATGGTACACACAAGCCCACTGCCTTTCAGGTTCATAGTGACTGCAGGACAGAACTGGCCCCTTGGGCTACCCTGTAAATCTGCAGGAGCAGAAAGCCTCACTTGGAACTCCTGACCTTTCAGTTAGTAGCCCAGGCCCCTTTTTTATAATCCAGGGCCCACTTTAATCTGTAGTAGTCCTACACCTTGGGCTGCTAACCACAAGGTCAGCAGTTTGAAACTACCAGCCTGTCCAGGGTGAAAGGCTAGGCTTTCTACTCCATAAATAGCTAAGTATTTTTACAAAGAGAAGGAAATGCATGTGGCTTAAGCCTCCAGTGGATTAACCTTGGGACCAGAGATGAGGGGTGTGACTAGCCTTGCTCTCCTGAAGAGTGCATTGGAAAGTGGATTATTGCAGGTTAAAATGTAACACCTGATCATTTGATCTCCCTTTTAACCCATTATAAATTTGTTCTAGTTTTTAATATTTTCCACTTTGTTTTCCTTTGAGATTTTTGTTTTACTTTATAATTGTTAGTTTTGTTGCTGTTTTATATCTTTTTCTGTATATGCAATCCAGGATAAGTAAATCTATAGAGACAGTAACTGGATTAATGGTTTCTTGGGGGGTATGGGAGGAGGGGTTGGGGAAAAGTAGGGAGCTAGTAACATGGGTACAAGAAACAAAATTATAAAATTGATTGTGGTAATGATTGTACAACTTTTCTTGATGTGATTGAAATATTGAACTGTATGATGTGGATTGTAATAAAACTTTTTTTAAAAGAATATTGTCATAAACAACCTTGCACATTAAAAAAAAAGGAGTTCTAGTCTCAAAACGCAGAGAACCTTTTCTATAGGGTCATTATGAGTTGGTTTGGAGTTTTAATTTCTTATTAGCATAGAGTTCCCAGATTTAACAACTGAAAGCACAGTTACTTATACTTAAAAAGTATTGTTTATCTGAAATTCAAATTTAACTGGGTGCCTTCTGCCTAGTTTTGTATAATTTGAACAAGATAAACTTATGTACAAAATTGTTTCGTGCTTATTGACTAGTTTGGGGTTAGTCTTATCTTGTGAAAGTCTCAATTTTTTTATTTTAATGAGATGTTAAAAGTTTGGTTTTCGTGCTCTTAAAAAGTTGGGGGATCTATTTTTGTCTTTCAGATCCATCCTACTGGAAAAATGTTTATTCTTGCAGATGGAGAAGGAAAAAATGGAACCATTGAATTAATGGAGCCTGTATGTTTAAGTATTAATTCTATGTCTACTTTTGTTAATTCTTCATCTTGGTTTGCTTTGTTTCTGATTCTTGGAGTGGCTATATAAAGGAAAAGTTTGTAAAACTTCCTGCCTCCGAAATGAACATCATTCCCCCTTTTCACTTTATATTATATATTTATTCCATTTTATATTTTCATCCAGTGATTCTTTGAGCTTCTTGATTCTTGAATATGTCCTGTTAATGCTGGATAGCAATTCTTATTCTAAAGCGAAGCCATAAAATCACTCTTCTGTTTTAATTTGCATGCATTTTCAGGTGTTGATTATTAATTTTATATTTTATCTTTAATATACTTATCATTTCTTTGTCGTGTTTTTTGTTTTTTTAAGACAGATCCATGTAGTGTTTGGTTAATGTATACATTAACTGTGCTGATATCAATAATAAAATGGTTCTGCCCAGTGGGTCATTTTTAACAAACTACCACTAATAGAAATGCTAGCAATTCTGAGTATATCTTTTCTTTGCATGATTTTGCTTTTAAATTAAACATTTAACTAGATTTTGGACTTTAAGATATGGTAATGAGGCTTGCAACTTGCTGACAGTAAATACTCAATATTTTGTAGCTAGTTGCAGTTTAGTTTTTTCATTGATAAATTTAAATCTTCTTTCATAAGCTGGAAGATAGATAAGCTGTGTATCAGTTTTCCAAGAAATAATGCTTTTTGTTCTTTATTGTTAGCTTGATGAAGAAATTTCTGGAATTGTGGAAGTTGTTGGAAGAGTAACAGCCAAGGCAACTATAATGTGTGCATCCTATGTCCAATTTAAAGAAGATAACCATCCTTTTGGTAAATAAAGCATCCCAACATTTAGCAGTTTTGTAAAACAACTTTAGACTTCACTAGCTGTATCTTTTAATATCTGGATTGAAATATATGGCTTAACACTTAAAACATTGCCAGGCAGGAACTGTGCCCGCAAAATGGAAGTCACCATGAATATTTTCCTAAAAAAAAGGATGGTTTCCTGCCCCTCCTGCCTTTCCTTTCCTTTCCTTTCCTTTTTAAAGCTAGGGTTAAGTAAATGTTACGATCCACATCTTAGTTTTAGAAATTGGATCACAAAAGTAAGTTGGCCAGTTAGAGAGATGACTAGAATTATTTCAGGTGATAGTTAATATAACTTTCCCACTGTAGATTAAGTGTTTGCTAAAATGTTTCTTTCAGATCTTGGACTCTACAATGAAGCTATAAAAATTACCCATGAGTTCCCTCAGTTCTTTCCTTTGGGGATCATAAAGTATGATTGAGTTTGATGAACTCTGTAGGACTGTGAATTTGATGTTGAAGAATTAAAGGAGGCCCCCCTCTACTGTTTGAAGAAGAGACCCCTGTGGTTTCTAATAGGTAATTTGCTCGTTTTTCACTTCCATTTCCTTAACCAGATATTTCACTCAACAATTCTTGACTGAACGGGTATGCCAACATTTTTTCACATAAGGGTGAGCAGTCTTCATATAAAAAAAATCTCATGCTCATGTCCATTGTATAATAAAATTAGGTATAAAAGCAAATTAGTTATCTTGACTTTTGTTTTCTATTTTAATAAATATTGATACATGCTGTTCGTTTCATTCTTTTATTCATATATTCAAGTACAAACCTAGACCTTTGTCATTATGATGTCAGAGCTTAGTCCTACTAATATAAAATGCTGGATCAAGCCCCTTAAGGCTGTTTCCCTACCTTCCATACTAGCTCGTCTTAATTATTCGTGTATAAGCTGAGTTTTCAGCACATTTTTGATGCAGTTTTTGTGGTAAAATTAGATGCCTCGGCTGATATTCAAGGCGGCTTATACTCGAGTATACATGGTACTTCCTTGGCAATTAGAAGAGACAGAGCCCTACAATTTATTAAGTAACTCTCTTTCAGGATTTTAAAACAGCTATAACTGAGACCAGACACCAGGGATACATGATCAATAACATAGTTGGTAGAATCTTTGCATTTTTTTAAACTTTTTTTTTCTCATTTCTTTTTACCTTCATTGTCCTTCTGGAATTCTTGTTAACCACCAAGAACTTGTAGTACTGAGATAGGCAGAAAGGAATTTGGCAAGAGTAGGGTAAGAAGGTAATACAGAATAACTACAGACCATTAGGTTTTATGGCTTAATCCACTTTGTTCAGTGAGGGAATAAGCAAAGTCCAAATTCATTTAGATTGTAAGCTAATGAAAATACTGATCCACTAGATAAAATCCTCATTTTCAACTTTCCTTCCTCAAATACACTGCCATTTATCCCAGAGGCATTGCCATCTCACATGTAAAGAATTTTAAGAGCTGGAGGCAATTAGTTAGAACTTAAGCCAGTCTCAACAGCACAGTGTGGGTTAGATGGTGAAGGTGCCCTGCTTGAATCTTTCCCTCGAGCTAAATTGAAATAAATAAATGAGCATGGTCTCGTTTTCTGTATTTAAGCATACTCAAAGCACTTGCGCAGTCACCTTCATGATTTTAGACCATCACCCAGAGGAGAAATGCAGCACCCTTCAGCCATCATTACTCAATGCCCCCGCACCCTCAGATGTTGTCATTAGTTGTCCAGTCAATGTGTTGAGCTGTTAACCACAGATGAGTTCACAACCACCAGCCACTCTGGAGAAAGACGAGGCTTTCTACTCCCTTTAAGAGTTATAGTCTGAGAACCCTGCCGGGCAGTTCTACCCTCTCCTGCGGGATGACCGTGAATCGGCGTCAAGTTGACATGAGAGCAAGCCCGGGGTAGAACCGAACAGCTCCACAGGGCTTTTTTGGCAGTCTGCCAAGGCCTGTTCCGCCACAGTGCTATGGAGTAGGCTCGGTCAGAACAAACCATTTGTACCAACCCCCAAAAAACAACTTTGCCCATTCGGCATATTACACATAGGTAGACATGTACTATATGGTTTCCTTCAATTGACTTAGCATGTTTTCAAGGTTTACTTGTTTTATAACATGGATCCTTTTTATGGCTGAAAAATATTTCATTGTATGGCTATACTACATTTTTATGTATTCATGAGTTGATGGACATTTCAGTGGTTTCTACCATGTGGCTATTATGAATGATTCTGCTATGAACTATCAGATGGAATTTTTGTGGGATTTCATTTCTCTTTGAGTATAAAGATGGGATACTCAAAGCCAGACCAAACTCCCATCAAGTTTCGTGACTCAGTGACACTATTAGACAAAGTTGAACTGCTCTTTTGGATTTCTGCGGCTGTAAATCACAGACACACAAAGCCTCATCTGTCTTCTGAGGAGTGACTGGTAAATTCAAACTGCTGTCTATGCGGTAGGCAGTCTATTACTTACTTGATATCACCACTCGGGCTCTGTGGAAGTGTTGCTAGCTCAAATGATAGCTCTAGGTTTAACTTTTTGAGAAATTGCCAGATTAGTTGTCAAAGTGGCTGTGCCATTTTACATTCCCATCAGCAGAGAATTCTCATTTCTCCACACCCTTACCACCACATTTTCTGGCTTTGGTTGTAGTCATCCCATTGTGTGAAGGAAGGCAGGTATCTTGTTATACTTTTGAGGTGACTCATTTCTCAAAGCTACCATAATCCACCCAGTTGCCCAGAAACACTTAAATTCCTCCAGTTCTTTTCACTGCCATTGCCACTGTTAAGGCCATTGCCATCTCACTTGAACTATTGTAATGCCTTCTGTTTTGGTCTCATACTACCACCCAGTCAATAGTCACATGAAACATCAATTGTAATTACTGTATCTGAAATTGTGGTTATACAACTTTTCAATATGTTTAAACCATTGAACTGTATATTATGTGAATTGTATGTCAAAACTTATTGGTTTTATTGTAATCATAGTGTAGAACTCAAAATTGACCTAAGACATATCTAAAGGAGGCAGCTTCCTGAAAGTTTACAGAGGAGACATCAAGCAAACATCTTACCCAAGTGATCCAGGTTACTGTCTCCAGTTATGTCATGTGTCTATCATGGGAAGGGCACTTCACCTCTGCTATTTTATCCAAACCCCTCACTTCAAACTAGAGAAAACACTGGGCAAACCCAAACCAAGGGACATACTAGAAATTATCTGACCAGCACTCCTCAAAACTGCCTAGGTCATGGAAAACAAAGGCAGAGAAAGTTGCAAGCAGACTAAGGAGTCAGGACAACTTTGTAGAATGTAGAATCCTGGGTTGATTTCTGGAACAAAACGGGTGTTAGTGGAGAACCTCATGAAACCTGAACCAAGTCTAGAGCTTAGTTAATACTAATGTTCCTATGTGGGTTTTCTGAGTTTTGAAAAATTTACCCTGATAATGTAAAGTGGTGGTGTTAGTAGATACTGAAACCGAAGGTGAGAAGTATAAAAGAACAGGTATCTGTCACTTCCCTGTAACAAAAAGTATTCCAAAGTAAATTTTTTTAATGTAGAAATCAGTTACCTCCAGATGTTCTCTGACTACATCAGGTCCCCTTTTCTAACTAGTATTTGAAGCCCTTCACAATTGGACCACCTCTCAACTCAGTCTCAAATCCTGTTCTTCCCTTCAGGAACAGGGTGCCATTCAATTTGCTATTTGTTCGGACTTGAAATGTCCATCTCTGTTCTCACATTTCCATACCTCTCATTACACAACTTGATGATAATCTTTTTCTTTGCTTTGTTTTGTTTTAATTCAACCACTACAAAAATCAGAATATAAAGAGCCCAGTGGTCTCCTCGGAGATAGTGATACGATTTGGTGTATAACTTGCTAGACATACGTTACCTAACTCTAGGCTTTAATACGTTGTCGTTAGGTGCCGTCGAGTCAGTTCTGAAATGTACAACAGTACGAAATACCATGGCTTTTGCCAGGTATTTCCTCAAAGTGACATCTTTGCTCTGCAATACTTTAAAGAAGTCTTGTGCTGCACATGTGCCCAGTGCAATACATCGTTTAATGTTTTGACTGCTGTTTCCATGAGCACTGACTGGATACAAGCAAGATAAAATCCTTGAAGACGTTAACCTTTTCTCCATTTAACGTGATAGCTACTGGTCCAGCGTGAGGATTTTGGTTTTCTTTGCATCAAGTTGTAATCCACCCTGAAGGCTACAATCCTCGATCTTCATCAGCAACGCTTAAATGTTCTCTTGTTCAACAAGAAAGGTTGTATCATCTGCATATCTTGGGCTCTAATAAGCTTTCCTCCAATACTGATGCCATGTTCTTCCACATATAGTACACCTTCTTGGATTAATTGCTTCACTTACAGATTGATTAAGTATGGTGAAATGATATAACGCCAATGCACACCCTTCCTGATTTTACAGATGCAGTGTTCCATTATTCTATTCCACATACAGGTTCCGCATGAGCACGAAATATTCTAGCATTCCCATTCAGCTCAAGGCTCTCCATAATTTGTTATGATACACCTAGTTGAATGCTTTTGCATAGTCAATAAAACACAAGTAAACAGCTTTCTGAAATTATCTGCTTTTAACTAAGATCCATCTGATGTCTGCAATGAATTCATCTGAACCCATCTGGAATATGCTCTAATATATTACCCTTTAATATTTGGCAGCATAGTTATTCTTTCAAAATAACCTATTGTACATCTATACGCACAGCCATGTAGTCAATTCCTATGCACAGTGGCCCTATAAGGCAGAGTAGAACAGCTCCCTAAGGTTTGCGACACTATGTCTTTACTGGAAAAGAAAGCCTCATCTTTCTCCTTTGAAGAGGCTATTGCATTCGAACTGCTGACATTTGCAGTTAGACAATTAACCAACTATGCCACCAGAGCTCGAATCCATTGTATAAGTGATCCCTAATTTACTTAACCAGTCTTCTTATTAATCGTCCCCACTAAGCTGTAACAATGGGCTCAAACTTAAGAGCAATTTTGAGGATGATGCAGGACTGGGCAGTGCTTAGTTCTATGGTACGTAGGGCTGCTCTTAAAAATGAACAGCCTATAGAAATCTATCTTAATGATAGTCCCATTGCCTGGAGTAATGCATGAATTAATTAGTCTGTGTAGCCTTTTTGGAAAGCCAAAAATTTGGAAGGAGAGATTGGAGTTCTGATCCATAATGAGTATAATTACAATGGATAAGAGAACAGGAGTTCAGGATATCATGTAATGAATTCCATAGGACTAAGTAATGATATGAGGAGTTAGAATAAGAACTAAGTAATGATATGAGGAGTTTGCATAAGCTAATAAGTAAGAGAATAAATAGCTTCAACACAAATTTAAGTAGAGAGGCTCTTTGGTAAAGATATCCAGAATGCATTTGAAAATATAGAGCATTTGGATATGAGAGATCATCAACCTAAAACATTATTTAAAGTAGGGTTTTAGAAATCTATCATTTACAATGTCGTTATAAAATGAATTGAAAATTAAACACTTTCTCCTAAATTTATGACAAAACTCATCTGACAAAACCTAATAGTAATTGGCAGGTTATTTAAAGTCTTTTTCTACTTAGGATGAATATTGTGTTTCCTTGCAGAAGTATTAATGTTTGCTGCCCCCTCTCTCTG